ATGATAATGTGGAGTTACAAGAATAGGGGATTGGAGAAATGGACTTTCGATAACTTCAATTGAATGGCAAAATACAACACAAGCCTTGTTTCACGCTAGTTTTCTGTGAGGCGTGGTATTACTTCGGTCGAGCCGATTTCTATCTACGACTGTGGATTTGGTGATTCAAACAAGCGCCAGGCGCCATGTTTTCCTATAAAGCACGGTTGTATGAATATTGGATCTCGGTAGCTAGTCGTCGTACTAATTGATTTGGCACAGTTGGACTTCTGCTTCGATCTGCTAACTTTCCAAGCTGTTAGCTTTGCATGTGTAGTTGGATTGAGAATTTGAGATGTTGTACAATTGAGCTGAGTGTAGTGGGTATATGGTTGTTGAATTTAGTTGGCCTGAGTAAATGAAATGGGACTGTTTTTATACGGTTCCTACTTTTCGTCAAAAAGTGGTTAGTACCATAGAACGCATTTTTTTGAAGGGGGAAAATCATCGGATGATTTCTCCCGCCTGGGTGAGGCGGGAGGGAGTGTCAGACTCTTACTGACTAAAAACCAGCCCGTTCCTACTCCTGCACTTCAAGGCGGAGCCCCGGTAACCCGTTAGGTTCTCCACGGCTCCGTATCGGCTCAGCACTATTGGGCCCCGTCCGTGGTGATCTCAAAGCTCTTTGAGGCGAGCCATAGAGCGCATAGAATTAAACTAGGTACCTAGTTATTATTAAGTCTTGGGAACAATTTTTAATATTGTATTGCTGATAAAATTGAAGGTTTATAACCTGTTGAATATCTGGCAATCGACCTCAATATATACACAGTAAGATATCTTAGATATACGTAATGTGCACCTTTGCCAACCTCTTCAGAGATAAAAGGCGTAATGTTATGTTATGTTATGTAAAATATCACAGAACTTATAATCTCTCCCAGTAGCAGCTTGACGTAAGTAAATTAAAAAATATGTGTCATCACAACACCACGACCTTAGTTTTTCTAGTAAATAGGTTATATACCGACCTTGTGCTTGTATATCTTGGAAATATCAGCTAGCTCACATTAATCTCATTAACTTGTTTGCATCATGGCGTACGTAAGCGGTTTTTAAACGATCATATTAGAGCCATCAGGTAAATTGCATCACGTGACCACGGCGGCCATTTTTCTTCGTTAAACTAATTAACTAAAGATTGTTTACGTCTAAATTACGGTTAAGTAGAGGCCGAGTTTAGTTTGTTGTTACTTATTTTTGGATTAGTAGCTATCTGGCGATAAGAGAGAGTAGTCAATTTGATATTTCGGGTTTAAAAAAATTTTTTTCTAAATAATTTAAATGTAGGGTCATCTTTTAGTGTAGGGGAATCAGTCCTATTACATTTTATATCTTATACTCTTATACTATTACTATAAAGCGAAAGAGTTTGTTTTTTGTTTATTTGTTTGAACGCGCTAATTTCCGTAACTACAAGTCTGATTTGAATAATTCTTTTTGTGTTGGATAGCGCATTTATCGAGGATGGCTATAGGCTTTAAAACATCACGCTACTACCAACAGAAGCTGAGCAAAGCGTGTGAAACCGCGCGGAAGTAGCTAGTTTCTGTATAAATTTTAATATGCAACTTTTTATTTGTCAGATATATCTAGGAAAAACCCGATACCATATTATGTAGGTATACATACTAATATAAAAATTGTGAATACTACAAAAACAAATGATTAGTAGTCTCTCTGCATTTGCATTAGATGAGAGTGAATAGTTCTGGATCTGATTGCAAGCGATGCCGTACAAATGTGCTCAAAGAGAAATCTGATTGGATAAAAAAATTATGACGACAATCCAACCACAGAGCTCTCTATATTTCCAATCGAAATTAAATTTTTAAAATTGTCTCTTCATTAAAATCATTGATACGTGGTGTTTATTTAGTGGTAGCGTAATATTTATTTTCGTTTATTTTATTTATAATGACAATAAAAAGTAATTTACAGGATGTTTTTGATTTTACTGTTGTCTCTCTCTTTTAGTTTACGATTTATAGCGATTCAAAATTATGTCAGTCGTCTATGCTGAAATTTTTTTACTATCGATTGCAGCTTTTATTTGAGGGGGAAAATCATCCAATGACTTCTCTCGCCCAGGTAAGCCGAGAGAGGGAGTGTTAGACTCTTACTGACTAAAAACTACCGCGTTCCTACTCCTGCACTTCGAGCTGGAGCCCCGGCAACCCGTTAAGTCCTCCACAGCTATGTATGTGCATCAGCCCCATTGGACTCCATCAGCGATAGTCTGATAGCTCTTTGAGGCGCACACGATTGATTTTAGCTGTATTTGTTAATGATAACGCAATTAAGTAGTTTTCTACATGTTAGGCAACTTACTCGAGATGTCTCTGATGTTGATGGTGTATTAGACCAACGGTAATTTTACTAAAAATCTCCTGAAAAACCCCTCTGTGGTTCGAAACTAGTAGAGCTTTCCTCAGTATATTCACGTGAGTAACCCGCGATTTTTAGTAAATTTAGTATATTTCACGATAGTTATTATAAAAACCAACGGTAATTGTTTAACAATCTCATTTGTTGCTATTGTTATCGTGGCTAAAGTATCACGTCTTCAATTAAAACTAAACTTAAAACCATAACACATAAAACTCAAATTACAACTTAGCATCTACTTCTGCCTAAGCACTTCTAAAAACTTGCAAGTAGTGGTTTTGTCTATATAATCTGTGCCAGACGTTGGGCAGTTACTAGGAACTTCACCGATTAGTGACACGTGTTTCCTTCTCGAAGTCAGAAGTTCGTCTCGGCATAGGGACATGTCGAATATTTGAATCGACTTTTTGGAACGTGATACGACGACTAAGAATATAAGTACTAAATTCGTATTTTTTCTGTTTCTTCTTAAAAAATGTTATCGAGTGTGTTGACAATACATAATTACACTTGCACATAATGATACAGAATTCGTATTTTAAAATATTCGAGATTCTGTTAAAATATCCTAGTTATCGAAATACATATTTAAACTTGGAACGAATCGTACATTAAAATACGAATTTCTTTATGAGTTAAAATTAATTAGTTAAATTTTGTTCGACTTATTCAAAAGTAGAACTGTTCCTAAAGTTTTGAATTTAATGCACACCATTTTACAATTCTGTTCGTTAATGTTATTGAGAATTGTTCGTTAATGTTGGACTATATTCGATTTTCAAAATTCTCAGTAATACTTTTGAATTGTAAATGTCTACGTTGTGTGGAATTAAGCTTACCCTGTTACGTGGTACTTAAAACACAAAGGTGCTGTTACACACAAAGGTGCTCTAGAATACCAAGCTATAAGGCATCCTATTACGCATGCTCAAAAATTTACAAAATTTTACCTCTTGTCGATCCACAAGCATGCCCGTAATGCTCATTTTGAGCAACAAGTTTTTTGTTTAGATGTTAATGCCCCGCACTCTCCTGTATCGTATGTGGGTTTCCAAACATATAAGTTCACATACACCCGGAATAACAATTTAGGGATCACACAGAGAATTGCTCCGTGCGATAATCTAACCCGCGACACGTTGATCGCCAGTTGCCCAGCCACCGCACCAACCGTGCAGTCTTCCGTACATTCCGATACATATGTTACTATGTGTGAAGCATGATTTTGTGCTTGAAATTGGCATGTGTAACAATACCTTTACTGACGAATAAATAATATATTTATATGAATCATAACATTA